AGAGTCTCTTAAGTACCTACCTACCAGTAAATAATACCATGTTTCAAGTTATTCTGATCACAAATATTTTTTTGGTTTGTATTATAACGTGTTTTCCGGGGGAATAAAATAATCTTCCGCGGTAAAAAGTAGCCTATGTCACTCTCCAGCCCTCCAACTATCTTCACACACAAAATCACGGCAACTCGTCACTCTGTTTCGACGTGAAAGAAGGACAAGCAAACAAACAAACACACTTTAACATTTATCAAATTAAAATAATAAAGTATGGATACTCCTAATGTACATTAAGCTTCTATAAGACATTATAAGAGATTAATTGGACTTTATGATAAAAAAATATATTATATATAATTATAAAATTTAGCACATTCCATAGAAATTAGAATATTTATATTGATTACAACAATATTAATATGCGTTGATAGCTTGACTCAGAATTTCAATAACATGAATTTCTTCTAAAATGTGACTCTCCCACGCGCCTACATGGACCAGCCAAAGCTGCGGGTGGCTGCTAGTCAACGATAAAATCACTAAATAGTGACCAGAAATGAACTATTTGTATTTTGGCTTTGTAAACAGCCCCCGAGGGACGACACGCGGCAGTCGTGTGCCTCGATTTAACTAAACTGTATACGCCCTTTTTATTTGAGCGTTATCCATCTATGCGCTACATTATATTGCCATCGTACTAACAAATCACCTGCCTAAGCTTACCATTGAAAATTTCTAAAGTAATTGACAGTAACATTGCCTCCATCTTTATTTCGATATTTGACGTTTATGACTTATTATTTAGAGATTTTAGTTTGAGTATTTATATATTATTAGCGACTCGTTCGTTCGTCCCTAGGTACGTTTTGTCGGTTAGTATAGAAGTACCTGAGCTACCGAGCTTCGCTTGGAGTTTTTAGCCTAAAGCATAATTTTCTTATTTAAAAAAAAACTAAAACTTGAATAAATATAAAAAAAAACAAAAGTAAAAACTTTGCATCCCAAATCGATACGAACCCAGACACCTATGGTTGTCAAACTTGCGCCTTGGCCGCTTACCACGATGCATATTTCCTAGCGTGCGAATTAACGACCATATTTAAAACTCGATAACACGCGTTTTCCCAAACATAAAACTAATCTAGATCGATTTATTGCCCCCGAACTAAATTTCATAAAAATCGTTGGATCCGTTTTCGAGATTCAGATTACATATATAGGTATATATATAGAAAAATTGCTCGTTTAAAGATATTTATAAGAAAGATAGACTATATACTGTTATGTACTTTTTTTTCTTACTTATACTTGACGTATTGTTGTAGATGGTAGGTCCACCACTATTGAAAGTAATCTGAAGTAGTGATTCCCATACAAAATAACTAGTTTATGGTTTTTCCTAAATTTTTTTATATTTAAACCATCCCTGATATACTTCCAACAAACAAAAAAAGAATTATTCAAAGCGGTTCAGCCGTTTTTTAGTTTTAGCGAGACTAACGAACAGGAAAATATCCTATATGTTGACCCGGATAACCAGCTATCACCATACCACATTTTATTAAAATCCTTCCAGTGATGCTGTGAGCTGTCATGCGTTAACAGACAGACAAACAGACAAAAAATCTAAAAACTATAAATGCGGCCTCTGTATCGATAATTATGTTTATTTCAATAAGATTTTCCAAAAAATATATAATGTGCAGATTCGGCTTAGTTACAAATTTATTATATGTACTCGTATAGATTTAATTTAAATCCAACTCACATTAGTCTATTAAGTTCCAAGCTGCACTACTAGCGTTGGACTCAAACACGGTGTCATCAAAGCTAGTGACTAATGGCCATGAAAGCTACCTAGACCGACTAAACCAAAAAAAGCAATAAAAAAAAAGGAATAAAGTAGTGTTAAGATGGGTACCGGTTCATGCAGGGGTAATTGGCAACGAATGTGCCGATAATCTCGCCGGAGCTCTTGGTATGCAGCAAGGTTCTGAGCCCTTCTGCGGAATACCTAAGACCCTAGCTCAAAGAACCGTAATGATAGCATATCTCAAGACTGCAAACAAAGTTTGGACTGCATCAAATAGAATGATTCACTCCAAGACATTAATTAGAGCCTACGACAAAAGGTTTAACAATCTTATGCTAGCGCTAAACAGAAAAACCTTACGAATACTGGTAACGGCCTTTACTGGACACTGCTGCTTAAATAAGCTCATGTTCAATTTGGGGCTGAGCAAAACGCGAACCTGCAGAATATGCATGGAGGCAGACGAAATGCCACTTCACCTTCTGTGGGAATGTGGACCGATCATGCACCAACGCAGTTTTTCTAGGAAAACAATTTTTAAGCCTAGATGAAATAAAAAAGTGTAACCCTAAGAAAATCCTGAAGTTTTTAACATCAGCAGGGTTTAGTGCTTCACTCTAGTATAAAAAACGGCGATCACATTAGACCAGAAATGGTCGCAGTGACACAAAACAGCCGCTAAATAGAAAAACAAATAGTCTATTAAGTTATTGAAAGAGCTGCTTTAGATACAGAAACATTAAACATTTTTTTACAATACTATTGAATCAATTGTATGTCATTCACGATTTTTAATTAATCTATAAAATAATAATAAATTAAAATTAAGGAGCCTGATTTATTTCTAGTCCATTCTTCTTAACTGCCCCACGCTGCATCATACTGTAATACAGTTCAGTATTCAGTATTCAGATTCAAGTAGTGTCTACATTTTCTTACTTTTTCCCAAACAGGTTCACGTAATATTTTGAGTTCTATTTAGTATTTTTTAAGTATTCTACAATTATATACCATATTCACTCTACCTCTTTCCATGGTCCTAGTACGAAAACTGTTATTTAGATAGTAATATGTATTCTTTCAGATTAGAGCTTTTGACAAGCGAGTTTCATTATAATTTGCCTTTATTATAATCCAAATGGTATCATATTTGTCTTTGTATAAGTAAGAATTCCTTACTTACTACTCGAATATTGATATATTGACATTTATTTAATATTGATATTAAATATTGTATAAATATTATGAAAACTCAAACTATATTATAATATAAACAATTAAACAAAATAAATATTAATATATAAAAATAGTATCTGAATACTAATAAGCTTTTGGAAAGATGAATCAATCAACGAGCATAGGTACATCCCATCACAGTCGCTATTCGGCGTGTTGTAATCGAATTTGTGTTAGGTGTACAATGTACATGTATGTACATACTCGTATACTCGTACATGGCTCTCATCTAAAGCTTTGTGTTTTGTCGGTCCAATACAAATATTTGGCTCGTCTATATATCTAACACGCTACATGCGTATTAAACCCCCGTCAGGACATACATATAAATATACGTGACGGTTATCAGTCATTTTAAAATAAAATATCAAATTTGGATAAAAAAACGCGTTCTAAAGTAGAAATACTTAATTTAATTATAATTTACAAAATCATTTTTTTATCGGGACTAGCGAATCACCCTCGCTTTGCTCGGGTTCGTCCCTAGCTTGCTTCAAAATACAAATTTTTATTCCCATTTTCACTCCCTTTACGGATGAATCCAGGATAAAAAATATCCTATGTCCTACCCAGGATCTCAAACTATCTTCTTACTAAATTTCATGTAAATCGGTTTAGTAGATACAATAGATATAACCTCACAAACTTACAAACTTTACCCCTTTATAATATTATAGAATATACTAGAACCATGGCATCTCAAAGTGTTTAAGCAGCGTTTTCGTTGAAAGCGTCTACACCAAGCGCATCAGTTGCCGCTTTATATAAAACAGTTAGACAATCCTAGATTTTGTTTGGCTCGCTGTTATTATCTTAGCCTCCCTATTTATTAAATCCCTGCAGATTGTATTTACATATATCATTCTCATATTCGGTTATATTTTAAGCCCTGAGGTGTCAATTTTTTTCTTTTGTGGTCTTAGTGTACTTGTACCGTGAGATACGGGCTCTTATCTTACAGACTACCAAATAATGATCAGAATCTATATTGGCACCCTTATGACTTCAGTCATCCAAACGATTATTAAAATTCCTAATCTCAATGAGTACACGATCGATTTGATTGCATGTAAACCCTTTCGCTGATGTCCAAGTTATTTTGTGTAACGATTTGTGTGGGAAAACTGTGCTGCCATTCACCATGGCAAGGGAAATTGCTACATCTATTACAGATTGTTAGAAAATTGATGTAATCTGTGTTTTACTATGGTTGGCCGATAAAACTGTTCCGGTCTAATTTTGACGTTTAGACCCCCGATTATTATTTTAATGTCACCTTTAGGAGAATTTATGTCTTTTTCTTCTGGTTTTACTTCTTTCGGTGGCGGGTGAACATTGTTGATTATGTAGTTGTGAAATCGGCCTTTTGATCTTATTTTACAAATACGCTCAAATATTGGTTGGAAATCAATTACAAGATGTTTAAGACGATTTCCTATAATAAAACCTATTCCACAAATATGGTGCTTATCATGACAGCTGTAGTATGTTGTAAACTCAGGCTTATTGACCCCTTATGTAACCGCAACCATCTTAGTTACTGCTCTGCCGTAATGTCAGCTTTATGCTGGACTAAGTGCTGACACAAGAGTTGTAGGCCAGCCGGTCTATATAGAGTTCTTAAGTTCCATGTACAGAAATTAAAATCGTGAGCCGTTTTTGAAAAGCCAGGTCGTTTGTCGGATCTTCTATCCCTTAAATATATTTTTCCTTTCATAATCTTGGTTAAAATTTCAGGTGCATGAATGATAAACCCCTCGCACCCTAGATCTATAGTAGGATTGCTACCGTTGAGCGTAAAACCTCACTCCGTTTTATATTAGGTATCATGCCTGCCAATAATGCCTGCCTGAAATAATGGAGAGGAGTGGACGCGAATAGTCGAACGGATTAAAATACCTATATGATGACCACGACCAGTCTGTCAAGACTGTAACGACTAAGAAGAACATCATGCCTGCCAAATTGGATCGTTTTTAAGGCGCCGATTACTCGCCTTTCGTCCTCTGCTGCCCTTAGCATCGGCGATCAGAGCGTAGATATTGCACGTGCCGGAGCACGGGCGCAGAAGTTCCAAGGAGGCGCGACGGAGACAAGGGCCTATCGGACTGGTCTGCACCTGCATTCTTGAATACTCCACCATCAAAGTATGGGAGTGAGAAAAATTGGGCAATTTATAGGAGTAGCAAGCTCGGCTCTTGGATGACCTCAACCACTTTCTAATATCGATTTCGCCCCCCAGTAAAATCCTTTGATATAATATAAAACTTAAGAGAGGAATTATATAATACATAAATAAACTAAGTGGGCGGAGAGGCGAGGAGACGCTAGTATATTAAAAAATTTAAAATGATATATGCATTAATTATATACATACATACGTTACGACTAATAAGTATATATTAATTTTCTGTATAAAAGTTTATACGCTATTTCTGGAACACTAACTCTACTCTCAGGACTTACTTCGGTTATTATAAAAAAGTATACTTTTTCTAAAATGTTTTATAAAAGATGTTAATTATTCAAGCCTGAAATCTAAGCGGCGCGTCACATCGCGCCCCCGGTATTAGTCCGCTATCCCCACACGATCACACGATGATTAAATGTTTTCGTGCCAGTTGACTTTCATTTGCATTTAATGAGTCGCGGCTCTCTGTTATTTGACGTTTGACGTGTGTCAAAGTGCAGTCACTATCTATAGACAAAGTAGCACAGACATTTTTTTAGATAGCGAAATACAGTACTTAGTAGTCAGAGATACCTAAGCCATTTTAAAAAATGATTATTACCAAGCGGAATGCTCGTATTGATGAAACGCTCAACTTTTATCTTCATGAAATTTTAAGATAGTGGTTGCTAATAGAGGTGTAAAATATGTATTTTGTCCTTTTTTGTTATTTGTTAAACATCAAATTGTAATGCACTAAATTCTTTATAAAATAAAATATTACCGTTAAAATTATGACTAGTTTTGACGTAAAGCAAAATACAGACAAAATTTAATTAAGTTTTTAGTATAAATAGCCCCGCACTGGAGTCCGACGCTGCCTTTTAAATCCGCCGTTCATACTCCCTGCTTAGCTTTACGTAGATTAACGATTATGCTATTTCTAAACTTCACCCTACTTTCTTGATTCTCTGGGAGACAAATAAAATATTTAACTTTGAATAATAATGTTAAATAAAAACATGATTTTATGGAAATAATATCAAAAGTTTAGAGAGTAGTAGAAAAAATCTCTTCTTGCTTGTAAGCTTCTTTTTTAAAACAAAGTCTGTTTTAAATATATAAAATTGTAATACATATTTAATTATAGTTCATTTTTAATGTTTACGATAATTTTTGTATTTCGTGTGTCATTTCTGTGTCAGCTGATCTCTATAAGCAGTACTTCCCTACGTTTACAACAGGGGTAGCTGGTCCCTTTTCGCGTAAGACTCCCATGAAACATTTCAAACTAAACTGATCTCTAACTTGGTGCAATATGTATCAATTTTGATATTAAGCCTAACTTCACCAAACATTAAAGATCATCCGCGTTGGCGGCACGTGTGTTGCATCGCCTTTATTGACGAGGAGCTTGTACGCAAAGGCAAATGAAATTCCACCTGTTTTTAAAACATAGCAATTTTATTGCCAATAAAAACGTGCCTATATTGAGCATAATAGAAATATTTCATTCTATCATAGGAATTTTTCAATGAAAGTACAACAGTAATAACTTGTCATAGTAATTTTAATTCAATAAAAGTTGAAATAATTGAAATAGAGTATTCCTAGCTAGCTTTGTAAAGTGGATACGAAATTGCGTTTACTGACCGAATTTTACAGATAATAGATTTATTCATTTCATTTTATGATTCGGACTATTCGCATTAGGACTTTGTCATATTTTTCCCGAAATGTTGTCGTATCGTCGTCGTTGTAGTGTCAAAAAATTGTGTCGCGAAATATAGTTGTGTCGTAGTATGACTTCACCGCCTAGTACATATTATGCACAAATGCAATACCTTACACAAATATTAAGTAAAAGCTCTCAGATAATTGTCTCTATAATCGGTCTCTATTTAAGTTATAGAGAGTATTTTATGTTAATGTAAATTTAATTAAATTTTCGTACATATTATTTAAGTGTGTTTAGATCAAATAACATTCTTACATTCAGTTATTTAATTCATGAAATTATAAAAATATTACCTTTTTTTTAACGAGTTATAATTACTTTATTCAAAACTTAGTATATCTATACCATGAACGAATTAGCCACATTTCGTTCATGATCTATACATACTTATATTAAAATTGTAACTAAGCCGAATCTGTACATTAAATATTTTTTGGAAAATCTTATTAAAATAAACTTTATTATCGATACAGAGGCCAAATCTATAGTTTTTAGAATTTTTGTCTGTCTGTCTGTTACCGCATCACGGAAAAACTACTTAGAGGGATTTTGATAAAATTTGGTATGATGATAGCTGGTTATCCGGGTCAACATATAGGATACTTTTTACAGTGAGGATACCTGAGAAATCTATACTAAACGTATAGAATAAACTTATTAATTACTCGTTGTACCAAGAACAAACAAAGCCAAGTTGCAGTTAGCCGATGAACTATACCTATCTACTTATTTGATGCTAAAAATTATACATTCGGCTTCTTTTCTATTCTCATCTATCAATAACAATTAATTCTAAAGACAAAAATTATTATAATTTACTACTAAATAAAACTCTAACGTTAACTGACCGATAAACACAGGTATAACCACAGGACTTAGAACTAAGAAATTTTGCACCAGAATTACTTATATAACGAAAGCGAGCGTTAAATCCTTTTAAAAATTCATTCCATAATAATAGGGAATAACACATTGTATGAACTCGTCGTTTTAAAGTCAGAAATATGGGAATTGATGCTTATATTCCCGATGGAAAATCCAATTAGGTTACTTCTTGTTATATTATAACAACCGGCAATATATATGAATTATAACACCCTCATAGGTATTATTAATTTAAATAAAATTTATATTTTACCCAAAAACCTAATACTTAGTTCACGCATAGATAAAAATACGTTGTGTATACCTATTATATCAATCTACATAATATGTAAGCAAAGACAAACCCGTTCAGTACCTTTTCTTCTCTGTTGGTCAAACGATTTTCTATTTTTTGTATGGTAGGCTAATAATAAGCTATTGTCGAGCTTTTAGTTTTAGTGTTTTCAATTTAAAAAATTGGATTTTTAATAGGTATATACTCGTAGATTAAGTACCTTTTTCTCCCTTTAATTATAATGTTTTTTATAAATGTTGCCTCTAAAATTACTGTCTAAAAAGGAGTTCTAAAGATCTTTCTTCTAAAGGTCTTTCATTTTCATAGTTAACATTAGAATTTATTTAATACGTGGAAGTAAAAAAACAATGTCCATGGAATGTAATGGTTAAAATAACTTCAAAATCTACCATTAAAAGTATTTTCGATATAATAAATTATTCTTTAAAATTAACATTTTTAAAGCAGTAGAAATGCTTAAATTAATATAAATATATTAGCTTGAAGGCAGTGGTAACATGATCGCTTGAGAAACCGAGTATAGCGGGTTTAAATCCCGTGTCAGTGGTCACCTCTGATATTTTCATATGCAAATCATTCCCAACATGATTTCCACTTGGTATACGGGTAAGGAAACCTTCATGTTTGAGAGAACCCAACAATTCTGAAAGTCGTGTTGTAACTTGCGCACTTGGCCAGCGTGGTGGACTATGGCCTGATCCCCCTCGTGTTCAAGGGAGGCCTACCCCCAGCAGTGGGACGTTTAAAAGAGCTGAATACAATTATATTATAATTTTGTACGTAAGTGTTATAAGTTTAAGCAATATAAACATATTATAAACACGCTATTATAAGTTTAAGCAATATACACACATTATAAAGTCCTTTATGTTATGTGCTCCTTCAATCTAGAAATCAACTTCGTCTAATGTGTAAGCAACTCCTTGGTACAAATTAACTTTTTGTTAACGAATATTCACCACGAACCCGTTTCATACAGAGAACTTTATACAATACATTTAAGTCAATTACATTCACAACTATAACTCAATGTTACTAAAAATGCGCAATACATTGTATTGCAGATTTTGTAAATAAACGGTTTTCTTTCATTCGTAGAAAAACAAGTAAGTACAATTCAAATAGAAAGTTTTCTGTAAAGCGCAGTCGTTAGGCGTCGGGAAAGTTGTGAAGCCTTTTTGTACGGTTTCGGAAACAAACGAGAAATTGCGAAACAAAAAAATTGCTAATTAAATATGAGTCGTTTAAGTTAAGTTTAAGTCAACCGATTCCCTTTTTTGCTTTAGTAGATATTGAAAAGCTTTAGTATTAAGAATAAAAAATCTTTGTTTTTCTCATATTGGTAGGTAAATTTTATTAATATTATATTACGTTTTCCTAAATGTTAAATAAAGATTACGCTTGACGACACGGTCGATTCTAGATATTATTCTGAAGACTATTTGCGTGCAGTAATTTAAAAAAATACAAATAGTCTATTTCATAACTCGTCATTGTATTATACAATATTAAAAAAACATGAGTGAGGCAAAAAGTGCAGGAATTGTCACTACTTTATTATGATAAAAGTTTTGGTACGATAAAGGCGAAATCGTTTACGGGCTGTCGAATTGTAATGCACAAATTGCGTTTGTATAACGCTTATTTCCTCGATCGGATGGTAACCCGTCTACGTCATTTTTCTTGTTCATCCCACCATTCAACTTCGAGTGGTCGAGGACACAATAGCCAGAAATGCACGCAGCGCTATTCATTCGAAAATAAATGAAAACACAATAATAATTCCATGTAAATTAGACGGATCTCAAAAGATATGGATGAGGTACATATAACGAAAATCGTAATACAATTTAATATTGGTGAAAAATCCGTATTGTTAATGTTAATCAAATATTAAAATAATTTTAAAATATTAAAATAAGCAAAAAAAAATTGATAAACTCTCAAATTGTATTTAATGTTTTTATAATAAAAATTAAAAGAAAAATGATTTGTTGTAACTGCGATACCGCATCCATAATGTATGTTCTCACATCGAGTATGTTTACACGACGGATGGCGCAAGTATCCGTTCAATGGCAGAATTGGCCCACTCGAGCCACAATAGTTCGTACCCAGCGAGATACCTCTCAAAAACCAACCACATTTTATGTTTTTTAAAAGGGAATCAAATATGTTATAGCAACGTAGAGCTAAATCTAAGTAAATAATTTAAATTATCCAAAACTATATATGTTTTGGTTTCGCCCGGATAATTTTTAAATTAGTCTTTGATAATACTAAATGTTGTAAATATTTTTCATCCAATTGTGGATTAATTGTATAAAAACCTACGAGTATATAATATATTTATAGTGAAAAAATAATATGTTAAAATTGTACCTTTGATTTTGGTTAAGACGCTGTTAAATTATCTAGTACCTATATCACGAACCGGGATGTGTGATACTTTATTTGTTTTCGAGTAGATATTTAATAAATAATAACATTTATGTATCAAAATCGTGTATTTTTTTATATTTATGTGGTACTAAAATCAAATTAAGTAGCATCAGAAAAATATTCTTCTCATAACCGACAGTTATCACATACTATTCCTTCTTCCAATAATTGTTATGCAAGCAATATGGAGATTCAGAGTAAAACCAGTTTGTAATTTCACCATGAAATAAATAGCGAATCCCTTTCAATAACGAAATGACCGGTGTTTATAAAAAAGCTTAAATTACGGTACACATTGAATTTATTCCGTTACGTTTCTACTCTGACTCTACAATTAACCAAAAAAGATATAAGTAGCTACTCAATGGAAGACCTCTACATATATTTATTTCACGTTATACATATATGTATATGTGGTTAATATTTCATAGTTATTAAATCTGCGTAAGTACCTACTTCTTACTTTAGAATGATAATTTCATTCCTCGTATTTTATATTTTATAACGAACAGAATGAGTGACTTGATATTTAGATATGTATGATTATGTACATAAAATGTAATTTATTTCTAAATGTTTTGTTATATTATATATAGCTTACTAGCTTTTGCCTGTGGCTACGTTCGCGTAGGTTTTTTTCTCTCCCCTTTTCGGTAATCATCAACATTCCTTAATAAATAATATATAATTCCAAAACATTTCAAATTTAACTACTTGTTCCACGCAAATAGACATGTACGAGTACAAACAATAAAATTGTATGTACATTGTATAGCTGCGAAAAGCTGTTCTTTCGCCAGTGGCTCACCGCCCGCGCTCCGTAAAAAATGATAGCGCGTATTTTTATTAAAAGTTCAATTTTCGGGAAACACTGTACAGTTCATGTCAGTGCGTTCAAATTTCGGCGTTCTACAGCTTCCAATATATACCTACACGATACACTGACTATTGCAAGTTGTAGAATAACGAAATTTTTCCGACAAATGAAAAAATACAATTTGTTGGTTTCAGAGAGCGGCAAATATCATAGCTGCTGTATAATAGGTAGGTTTGGCTCGGGTGTGATGGGCGGTGCGGTCCGCTAAGTACTCCGCCATTGGTGGGCTTAGTGGAGGGGAGAGACGTTTTATGTGCGCCGCCAGGGGTCGACGCCGGCTTCCTGGCCCATTGTACCGACGGCGGGCGCGTAGAGCGCCTCGTGTAGTGCCCGTGCAACAGTTACATGAAAAAAATGCTCGAGTTTTATACAAACATTAACTCGGGATTGATGCAGGAGAGCATGCAACCTCCGCTGTCGTGCGCTGGGAGGACAGGTCAGTGCTGCATCTGTGTTCACCTTCAAGTGTGGCAGTTTGCGAATACTATTCAATTTGAAATTTAAACGTTATTCGGCGTTCTATATTTCTGTACGAGTTACGAGTAACCAAGTAGGAATTATTTTTTGTTACTATTTTATCGTTTGTTTTTAAGCATATACACATATAATATATATGTATATATATATATATATATATATATATATATGCAGTAATTAATATATTTTTAGTAGATTTAGAATCGGCCTTAAATCAGTCGAAGACTTAATGGGTAATCCGAAAACGTTTATCGATTTTCAGTTAGTTCAGTGTGAAAATGTTAGGTACCTACCTACCTAGAGAGTTCAGTAAACCAAAACTCGAAAAGAAACTTGTGCTTCCTGTGATGAGTGATTTAAGTCGAGTTGTACTGTTTTTGTGATTTTTACATAGAGATTATCAGAAAAAAATTAAAATTTAAAAATAGGAATTTTTTGGTCTAACTCGAGTTATTTTATCTACTATATTTACGTAGATAATTTTATGCAAAGTAATATAAATGGCACGATTTTTGCAAAAATATCGTGAATATAGATATATTTCAAGTTGCAACCTCTATTAATTATTGCTGCATATATTATTTTTCGTGCTTCGTGGTATAAGTGCGATTGTATTAATTTTCAAATTTTATTTTTTAGTACATTTATCGTGAATATTGATATAATTAGAGTTATATCACTTTGAACAGATTTTTCTCAATACTGATTAGGGTACAATTCAACATGTACCTGCCTACTAATCCTAATCTAAATTTATGCCTAATTTGTGATCAGTGATACATCTCGACTTACATCATTCTGTACAAATCAAGTTTTATGTGTAAACGAATATTATTACGTTAAATAAGAACGGGCTAAGAGCCGGCTCGGCAACAGCAGCAGTTATGACCACGGAACCAATATATTGCCTTTATATCTAACTTTTGTGAACTTTATTCTTATATTATAAATATGAAAGCTATAATATTATATAATATTTATATACCTATATATAAATATTTTACTCTGTAATTATTTTAATTGATACGAGAACGCATCCCATCATTTGCTCAGAGCCAATTAATCACAATAATTGTAAACACACAAATAAAACAAACATCAGAATGTAAAATAAATAAATAAAATATGTACTTTGCTATTTTCAACACAGTAATAAAAATATTTTGTAACATATTTAATACATAATATTTAAATTTGATAAAAGTGTATAATACCTAGGTACTCGTATATTTTTCCAATCAATAGGTATATATAAGTTGTAAAAGAAATTAAGTTTATGTTTTATAATTTAGTTATGTTTTATAAAAGCGTACTTTCAATTACTGGATGTATATTTATGGAATTATTTGGCTATACAGATTATATTTCCTATAAATCTTAATGTATAAGATACCGCGATGAACACCGAAACTACTTATCCGATCTAAATGTATTAAATGTGTGATTTGGTACAACTTAAAAGATGGACAGTTTTTCATTGCGAGATTATTTCCTTTTTCTAATGCGAAATTGACGATTTTCATATACGGAAAGGGATTCCGGAGATAGAACCTGAGAAACGGCTACTTTAAGCTACAAATTCTAAAGAATTTTTTTTATACCTAAGTGTGCCATAGCAACGCGTGGCTGGGTCTGCTCACTGCTAGTATAATATAATATTTCATTTTAATTATTCAAAAAAAAAGTATATTGCTTAGACTCTCCTTTCTGCGTATAAAGCGATATGCATGTAAAGTGCCCTAAATCAAGAAGTACCTAATACACAAGGGCGGCGCCCTAAACCAGCCCTTAATAGTTATTGCCTAAATATTATTACATCTTTAATCTAACCTTAAGTTATTTAAAAAGACGAACAATACCTTAGTATTGAGAATGATGACGGTAATAATAGGCCAATGTAGAGCGGGCGATATTGATCGTGTCAATGGTGTAACGTTATCAAGTAGTACACTACGCGTGGTTGACTTCGTTCTACAAACGTGTAGACCATTTTATATTGAAAGTACAAATATGGAATAATTCAAATACATAGGCACATAATATATATGATAGCTTTTTCAAATATCTTTACATATGTACACAATAATAATAGTATCGGTACCTATTATCTCAGAACATTGCTGACTCTACTAGGCTTTTACTAAAGAAAGCTAATTAATATTTAGCATTATAGTTTTAAAAATTAATAAATACGCTTTTAACGACTGTTTTTGTACGAGACTGCAATTCGAGTCGAATTCCCAGAATTTCTGGCTCCATTATTCAGATTTCGATCAGCTTGAATATAATAAATTATTATATTGACATTCTGATTTCACACTTTATTAAAAAAAACTCATCAGTAAATTTATATTGATTTTCAAAATTTATTTAATTTGATTTAATTAAACTAATAAAGTACTCGTATATTAAAAATGGATGTTTATTTTATCATCAGAATAAGCTATTCATAGAATGAAATTCTATTCAGAAGTTGCATGAATGAAATTCTATATTTTTATTTTCTATTCTACAGAATGTGTCAATTTATAAACAATCCAGGGGTCTTAGACGGGACATACTCGTACATACAATCTTTGAAAAATATAACTTTTAAGAATTGTATTGAAATGTCAAAAAGCGTTATTTCAAAGAAACGTAACATGTCATTCCCATATAGTACCTACTTCTTGTCCATCCTTGGTGCTTTATTTTAATATTTATTTAAGAATTTTATTTTATGAATAAATTTTATCTTATTTTTATTAATAATTAATATTGAAAATAAGTCTATCTATGCAATTCATAAGAAAATTTTCATCAAAGGAATATGACGACGGCATTTTTCAACCGACTTCCTCTAAAAGGAGGAGGTTCTCAATTCGGCTGTATTTTTTTAAGAACAAATAACTGTTATTATTGAATGTTTAAAAATACAATAAATAGAATCATTTGCCTTTCTAGGTTTTATAAAATGTT